ATTGCACCAAGAATAATGGAGAAGAAAGAAAATTATAATAGATCCTATAATTTTCGTAATATATTTACTCACATGTAATTGTTACCAAAAATTGTATAGAAGAACCTAATATTTATATGGAACATGTAGGGGACGTCCAAGACCTCTTGGTAGAATTGTTAATGAAGTAGAATGCCCAAAATATGAGTCCAAAACGAAGTAGGAAACAAAAAACGGAAAAATCCCGAAACAGATTACTGTAGCAGCGCCTAGGCGCTACTGTAGCAGCGCTCAAGCGTTAGGTTTCAGGTTAATATTCCAAAACATGCTTTCAAAGTGTTTTTCTCCATTCCAAACTCTTCTTCAAGTCTAATATCAATTTTCAACTCCCAATAGGCTTCCAAAATAGAACTTCAATTTGATATAAGACTCCAATAGCATTCCAAAATTGAATTCTTCTTGATGTTCACTACAATTAGAATTCTTCAATACTTCAAACAAGGAATTCGGGTCAAATCCAAATTCTAACATTCAAAAATCTCGAATGAATAAATGTAAAATGGTCTCAGGACCAGGCTGCAAAATAAGGCTCAAAATTGACCATCATACAAGTGTTCGAAGTCTCTTATCACACTCAAAATAATACCAGAGAAAAAAAGGTGATAGAACCTCCGACAAGAATATAAGCACCGTTATACCTTACTTCAAGCGCAAGGACTGACTTATGCGAAAGAAGATAAGCCCCAATGATCGCCCTATTAAGCAAACGAAAAAAGAATGAGATAGCATAGCTGACTTTAGCAATCCCAGTTCTTACAAATGGCATCGTGATATCAGCCAGTTTGATTAACAGCTGAAGTCATACCTCCTGCCCCAGAGAGATAAAAATTGAATTAGCATACGAGACCTTAATTTATTATGGTCCCAAACACAGGAGTTGTAGAAATTTCAGAACGCTTTCAATGTAAGATTGATGACAGGTTATTGATTTCATCGTATTAATACTGAAATGAATTTGTGTTCATGAACTGAAAGTTTTACAAAGTTTGCAGGGATGGTCTGGTTCAAGTCTTTAAATTTTGTCCAAGAGCATGTTTCAACCTACAGAAATCATGTGATCTACAGCAAAACCAGTTGCAGTATGAAAAATTAAAATGTTTCAGTTGTAAATGAAGGGCATTAAGGGTTTGAACTAGCATCATAATTCTGAAGATATCAAACGTTGACAGATATATATATCAGATTTTAATGTCAATAACACATGAATAAAACGACAAGAAAACGTTTCTTCCACCAATTAGAAATTTTTCACCCTCACCGCTGCCAGGTTCCTCAATGAGTTGGTTCTGAAGTGTGCGGTCGTCAAACTGATCTTCATACGTACAGACAACTGAGTGCATGTTCTCGTACAACCATAGATGCAGCTACACCTGTTAACTAGACATCTGATGCGGTATAGAAACAAGAAGATTTCATGGAAAAGTAGGACGACCGTCAACATAAATATTTGTCATGTTTGTTTTTTGAGAAGTTTGGGACAATTTTGAATGAAAATGACCCAATGAGCAAAACTTGGATACTTCACCCATGACAACTCCTCCGTCTATTGTAAGGACCCAGTCAATGTATCCAAACAGTTAACTTACATACTATCTGCTTTTGAAGAACCTTAGCACATCTTACCTTTCACGAAATTTCTATCACATCCCTCAAGATTCGAACTCAAGATCTCTGTCTTATTAGATATTTAAATTGAATCCTAGTACTAAGAACGGACAATACATAAATTAAACCGTGTGGACACAGAGGCTCGATCGTTACAAAAAATGCACATTTTTTTGTAACGACAGGAGCTTCGTGCCCGACTGTTCTTTTACGTACTATCCGATTTGGCAAGGCATATGCCATTTTACCCCTTCATAGCATTTTGTCACATCTTCCAAAATTCCATTCCAGGACGTCTACCTTATGAGAGATTTAAGTTGAATTTTGGGGCCAATTGGATGACTTGTCGTGGTTTCAACTTAAGTCTCTCATAAGTTAGAGATATTAGGTTCGGATCCTGGGGAATGTAAGAGAAAGCCATAAAAGGTAAGATATGTTCAGATTCTCCTAAAACCCACAACCCAATGATGCTACTAATGCACACTCTTGAATTGTAGAGGATTGTGATGATGAGGGTGAGGAGGAGGAGGAGAATAATAGGGTGGAGAATGATATCTTACAACCTACAAGAGGTACAAGAAATGATCAAAATGAAATAAGGAAGCCCGAGAATGATGATTTTGTATCGGACGATACGGATGACGAATCAGATGAAGAATAAGATATTAAATTGGAATCCGATAAAGAGTTAAATTAGATAAAATTTAAGCTACAACTTATCTACGTTATGTAATTATAATTNTCGCATTTCAAAAACTTGAAAATTGTATAATTCACTAATGTTGGGAATTATTAAGTAGATATAATATTGTATAATTTTAGATGTTTGATATGTATTATTTGAATGAGTGAATTTTTTACAATGATTAAAAATCTAAAATAAAATTAAAAATAAAAAACGTTTTTTTACTCCTACGCTTCCCTAGGCTCGCCTAGCTTGAACCTTGGCCTCCACGCCTGTCACGCTTTACGCTTTTTAGAACACTAGTATAAGGTAAAGAAGGATCCCGAAATCCCCAATGATTTTCCCTTCAAGGAACAGGAACTCAAAGCCTTGAGGGCCGCCGCCAACGAGCCATCCAAGAGAAGAAATTGTAATTGTAGTGCAGCATTGATTTGAGTCTGTTGTGAAATATTATGATTTCTTACTGGGTAGGTTTGTTGTTTGACATTTTCTATTTTGTCTTTAGGCTCGAAAGAGAAAGTTGGTACTATTGGAGGATGAAGAATTGAAAGACGAGAGTTCCGTTGGAGAGTAGTTTTTAGTGAGAAATCTACTGATTGGCTAAGAAACGGGGTATGACCCCAAATTTATATCATATATCATTTTTTGGTATAGGGAATTCCCCAACCCCCCTTGGATTTTCTCTATTATCTTTATTTTCTAACATTTCCTAAATTTAATGTAGACCACTCGAAGAGAGCTTTTTATAAGGAGTTGGTCAAAGTCATTGAAGCTTCTGATGTCATTTTGGAGGTGCTTGGTAGTCGCTGTGTTGACCTGGAAAACATGGTAATGAAAGCGGGACCTGAAAAACATCTTGTTTGACTTCTCAATAAAATTGGTATGATAATTCTATCTCTTCTTTCTTCTGAGTTCATATCCTGTTTTTTAAGTTTAATATTTTGATGAGAAAATGCTTGAGGTTTGTGATCTCTCCACGTTCTTAGAGCATTTTCGAGAGACTATTTTTTGAAATAGCATATTCTATAATTTTGAGAGCATTAATAAATTTAGTGAGTAAATTTTTTAAAATATTTTAACAGACTCTTTATATTTAACATTTAGTTTTACTAATCCCAAAAAATATTTATTGTTTTCCTTATCTTTTATTTTCACTAGCTTCCCGTATTATTTTCTTCCATTGAAATTTGAAAGAGAGTGAGTTTGACTCTCCTCCAAATTTGGAGAGTTAAACTCAGTCTTTAAATTAAAATGTTAATTTGTAAAGTCTTTTGGAACATAATTTTAAAAGTTGACTTTTTAAAATAAAGAGCATTTGAAAATTTTAGGTGCCGACGATAGCTTACTTTACTGTCACAATGGAAATTGTTTAATTGAATGCCAAGTTTGATTATCTTATCATCTTTTCTTTAAATAATTATTCCTGATTTACAATGAGGCGATAACTTACAAGAAAACAAGATCATGTGTCGTGAAAGAAAAAGAAGCTAAAATGTTGTCCACCGTCTTGCCCTATACCATGAACCACACATGCATATAATTTCATTGAGAGATTTATTACTTTTGATTGTACACTATGGTCATGGGTGCTTGTTTCACGTGCGGGATGATGTATAACTACCAGATTTGAATCAAAGCAAAGATTCTGGAGATCAAGTCGACAATGGTGAAGACCAGTCCATGGAATCTGGAGACGAGGATGGGGGGACAGGAAAAGATTGAATCTACCAATAGCAGGCAAAACAAGAAGCTATATTCTGAGGACGGCATGCTGAACACCAAGTTGATGAAGTCGGAGTAAAAAAAGACCGAAAAAAGAAAATCAATCATCAGCATTTGAACATGACAATCAATCACTCAATTATTGTTGGAGAGACAGCCCACGTTAATCATGTCTGAAGGACATTTTCATACAAGCCACCTAAAACCAGCGTTTAAGTGGCATGACTGAACCACATTAGATAGAGGTTGATGCTGAAGAAAAGGTAGCTGAGGTCGTGGCAGGGGACATGGTTGCAGCAACACCGTCAACTGTTGATATATCTACTGCAGAAGACTCGGGAATAACATCTTGTGCTTCCATTGCTTCTCTCGCTGCTTGCTCTTTGGCTCTTTTTGCTCTTTCCAACACCTCTTCCTGCACAAGCACGTATATGAAGGATATTTATGGATTTACGCACATTTTGTGACAAAGTGTGTGCATCGCATAAATAAGAATGCTAAGTTGAAATGAGGTTGACAGTGATGGTTAGCTCTAAGTAGTCGACAAATACGCAACCTGCAGTGAAAGACTTGGTACTCAGTCTACTATTCTTTGTCTAACTGTAGTGTTTCACAAGCATATGAGAAAGGGGCATTCTACTTGACTAAGTTTTATACTCTATACTATTCTTAGTCTAACTGCAGTGTTTATCAAGCATATGAAAAAGAGGCATTCCAGTTGAGTTTCATACCAGTTCTTATCCAGAGGTTTCTGGCCCAGTTCCCAACTTTTGGGTTGAACAGGCTAATCTAGTCCAGCGTCACAACATTAAGCCCCTGTCTCACAACCATTCTTTCAAAACTCTTTTTTCTCATACCGCACATTCTCACAATAAAATATTATTCATGTAAACCCAAAATTTTTCCCTACTTTCAAACCACACACTCTCCAAAAAATTACTATTCAAAAACTAATTCTTTTCAAAAAACTCAAAAGAATGGTTGTCAAATACGGGCTAATTTCATGACAGCAGTAAGACTACAACCCAACTTCAAAAGGGGCCTTTAGATTAGAGTAGGGGTCGCAAGAGCCTTTATTTTAACAAACTCTTGTTATAATCAACTATGTTGAAACTTCCAAGAAAAAAATTTCGAATAGGAAGGCACTCTTGGTGAACTAATGTTATCTCAAATCAACACCCATGTACAAGTAGAGTCTACCAGGGGGATTGAGAGAACCATGTGGAAGGAATTTGACATTATTCTATAAAGTCAAAACAACCTCATTCGACATATACATTTTTTTTCCTTGTCATCCTCTAACAGCAGGGCATGTATGATAATGGAACAACATTTTTCAATACGGAAATTCTCCTGTGCTTACAAATAACAGGTCAGCAATTGAAATTTCCCAATAAGCAAACATAATTCCTTTCCAGAAAAATTGGGAAAGAATCGTAAAATTCAAGTAAATTTGAAGCTAAAACCGAATTTATATCATATTTAGGAAATTCCAACAATAAATACCTGAAATTCTTGTAGTTTCTTTTGTTGCTCAGCCTGTAACGTGTAAATCCCACTAAGAAACTCTCCCACTCTTGACTCTAAATGATCACGAAGTGCTTCTGCCAGAGCCTTTCCCAGGAAAAAAGCATCCAGAACAGTTCTACTCTCATTCTCACCTGTAAAAAATAGCATTCTCCCATTAATGGCATAATGAAAGATATATATGACCCAATGTTATAAAGTGGCCGAATTACAGTAATAGTACCTATAATATTTCTCAATATAAAAGAAGATATACTATTTTCATTATCCCACATAACTGAAAGAAAGACATTTCACCAACTGAATCGCATATCAAAATTTCCACGAAAATTACAGGAAAAACAAAGTGAGCAAAAACATCATTCCGCATCACTAGATAAGACTACAATGTAGGAGTCCTAGAGTTTTAGAAAGTGGGGACAGTTTTCCAGTTAACCCAAATGCAGCACAAGCCACTTCTCGCCAAGCTTGATCAGACACTATTACTCAATTGCAAAAAGAAATTAAAAGTTAGTTTTTAAGTAACTTTTTTGTTGCAAGTTAGAAATGTTAGCTTTTTCTTACTTTTAAGTTAAAAAAGTTAGTTATATTTAAGAGAAGATCTTACATTAATAGCTATGATTTATATGTTAATTGTTAAAACTCTTTTAAGCTTAACTAAACATGCTGATAAGTGTATTTCATACAATTATTTAGGTCAACATTCTAAGACATTTTACTTACATTCCGATTGCCAAAGTCAATATCTATTGAGTTTTGAATTGTTTTTATTTTGTATGATGAAATCCTCGAAAGCACGTTACATCGTTAAAATTGGTAAGAAAATGATAAGAAATGAGACTTGAAGTGAAGACGAGCCAAGTATTGGTATATACAAAAGAAGAGAAATTGAAGAAGATACAAAAAGATGCGAAGTGAAAATGAAAATTAAAAGTGAAGTCAACGAACAAACACCTGAAAGCCGAAGAAGCAAAATGAGAAGCCAACGTGCACACCAGGTGAGGAAATTAGAACAAAAAGCTTTGTTTCAAATATCTCCACAAGGCAAATGATATATCTTTGGAAAGATAATTGAATGAGGAGTTCAGCTTTTTTTTTACGGATTGCAATTCCAAATTTCCTATCAAAGTTAAAGAATTTTTTCCACCATCAGAACAGAAACATGGTCCGCCCAAGCTTGCTGTGTGAGAGCCTCAGCTGAGGAAACACCTGTGGATATATATTTTTAGTAATTTTAAGGTTAAAGTGGTATTTGGCTGCCCAACCTTCTAGGTTTTGAGAAAACCTATATATTTACAAGTCTAGGAGTTAAAAGGGGTGAACTTTGGAGGCTAAAACATAAAAAACTCTCTTGATCAAAGAAAATTTAAACTGGGCTTCTTGGCTTTAAGGAAGAAGAATGATAATTGTTCAAGACCTATTGAAGGAATTCAAAAATCAAGACTTCTCTATTTCTTCTAATCTCTATAATCCAGGTGATGTATTATACATCTATTATGCATTTGGGTAACTTAGTTATACTTGGCTAGATTTATCAACACTAGGATGAAGATAAAACCTCCTTTAAAAAAAAAAAATTCTAGAGGTTTGAAATAGGTTTAGCACATCGTAGCAATATTGTATCATGAAGTCCGATAAGGAATATACAAATGATTTATGTGGTAGTTAACTGAGTAATCTAGCTTTCACGTGCTTTTACATATTAACATCCTTCATAGAAATATAGTAGGTCATATGTAAATTAGGTTCAATTCTGCTTAGGAGAGATTATTGAATAAATTAGAAATATTGATCATCAAATCCATTTATGTATTGTCAACTAAAGGATTTAGATTAAATTGGAAAAACAAGGTGGATTCCAACTCCTAGTATTGGTATCAATTTGAGTTTTTCACCAAAGCTTATGAAATCACTTTAATTTATTTATTTAGATAGTTTTTTGATAGGTACTTATTCAGATAGTTTAAAAATCATAGTTATAAATATCCAAATTTTGTGTGTTTGACGTAGAGCTATGTTTATTTGTCTTTGGACTAATTTACCAATTCTAGTGGGAACGATACTTAACTCATCACTTTATTACTTGTAAGGACACCATTCCCTTTTGGGACTTCATCAAAATACATGCTCTTGGTGGCATCCTACTCTAACATGAATTTGAAACTAAAGTGTCTCAGCTCCTCAAAACAAGAATTCATTCTCCCGACAACACTAGAACTGGGGCTGCATTTCATGTTCAAGCCGAACAAATAAAAAGATTCTCGCAAATCCTATTATGAAACCTGAAAATAAATCTCAGAGTAAATCCTCCACAGGAAAATTCGAACCGGTGTCCAGGCTGGAAGCCACTAAGCTTTACCCTTTTAACAGGCACAAAACCTAAAAACTAAGCCCATGTTCGGAAAATTTATAAATCATTTATAAATAAGTTGCTAAATGGAAGCTAAACAAGAAAAACCGTGGATTTACTCTTTAAAAAAGGGAGTCCAAGAGGAATTCAGCCCTCGAAATATGTAAAAACCAGGAAAAAAAATTAGTGGCTATAGATTATTGAAAAGTTGGGTCCTAAATATACATTTCAAATGGTTCATTTTCATTTTACTTTAACAGAGTTTGCATAAGTTCTTTCTGAATTGACCCACATAACATCTACTTACTCCATACCAACGCCAGAGCAAGTTTAGACTCGAAATCTACAATGTGAGTATACCATAAATCAAAATGTAGAATCCCTCGTATGTTAAAAATGCAGTCATCTTCATATTCAGCTTCAAATTTTATACAAGTTCGCGCATTTCACAACAATTATACCTGAAATAGTCCAGATATCAACTTAAATATATCATAACTAAAGTTAACTGAGTGACACTCCTAACTAAATTTTAACTTTTGTTCTTAGAAGATTTTATCATTACTATCCAGTCTACTTTACCAAACACGTCACTGTGATTGTGAGCAAGTTCAACATATTGATAGAAAAGTCAACGGCAAGCTGCCTGAACTCAGAACGGAAACAAAAACCCACACAAAACTACTTTTTTGAAGAAATTATTTAACTCGTATACATTTCCTGGTAAAATATGAAGGAAGTAGTGCAGGGGAGAGGGAGTACTACCAGAACCAGAATCACCATGTCCGGTGCTGCTATTGCACCTCAAATTGATTCTTGGAAATTTCTGCGACCCAGTTGAATAGAGCTTCAGATTTGAAAAACACACTGGATTTTCACGCGAAAAACCAGCAGTTCGAGCCCAACAACGTTGGTGAACTTTCGACGGGATACGAGGTTGTGAACATAGTGATGGTGATAGTGGGGATGCTGTAAATGTCCCACTCATTTTTATTATTTTTTTGCCCTTTTCTTATCTTTTTTCCCCTTGCCTTTTTCTTCTATATATTTGTGTCTTCTTCAGAAAGAAATTTGGGTTTTGGGTTTTCAAGAATTCTGATTTCAGATCTGTTCTACATAAAATATTTAGAACAGGTAGATTGAAATTGGAGGAGGATTCTGTATATTTAATCTTAGCAATTTCATTTTTTATATATATTGTTAAAACCTATAAATCTTTACAACGAAAAAACTAACAAGTCACTGAACATGCATGTTTTGCCACACGTAAAAATTGCTTGATGTATGTTTTTAACATAGTAAAAACAATTAATTATTAAAATAGTAAGATTATAAAATAAAGGGTTAATTACACTATGGGGCTCCAATCTTTTTACTTTGTCTTAATTTCATCCCCATTAAACTTTAATAGCTCATATCATTCCTAACCTTTTAATTAGTGGGAATCGCCTCTATCGTTTCAAATGTGACATTCGTACCCTCATTTCAACCTTTTTCTTGTGGAATTAGTCCTTTTCGTCAATCCCTTCTCTCAAATATGAATAATTTGTGAAAAATGTCCTTATCATTTTTCTTCATTGTGCAAATTGTCTAATCATTTCAATTTTATCACTTGGACCCTCATATCAACCTTTCTTTGCGCAAAAAATCATTACTGACTATTTTTTTCATTAAAGCATTATAAAAAAAACCAATTTATCCTCATCTTTAAGCCCCTGTTTGGATTCTATTAAAACGAGATTTTGGGAAAAAATATTTTTTAAAATAGTGATTTTTTGAAAAATATGTAGTTAAAAATTAAATAAAACTTTTAAGTTTATATGTAATATTATTTTATGAAAGAATGCATGATTAAAAATGAGTTTCGAAAAAATGGAGCCCAAATAGAGGATAAATAAACAAATAGAGAGGAAAGAAAGAATATAAAAGGGCAATAATTGAAACTAGAGGTTCGAGTTTTATAAAAAGTATAAATGAGTCTTCCATAAAACAATTTAAAGTATAATAACAAAATAAAAATATTTCGTCTTTCAATTAATCTCACCTACCCCTACCCGGCCATCACCACCAAAAAACATTAAAAAGGGAATTAAGAGTATTAAAAAAATAAGAAAAGAATTAATGGTTTCACATCAAAATAGTTTTAAAAAAAAATCAGTAGAGATTGGTTCATTTGGATTGGGCCTTGAGTTTCTTGAATGTGGATTCACATCAATTATGTCTCTGTGAAATCATCATGACTTTAAAATAACCGAAATGATGAAACCGATCCCTCAATTGTTAATGTGAATTTTTATTTTGCTTAAGATACACTTTGGTTTGGATGTGATTTGTTGTGGGGTGTATGCAATATTAATTGGTAAATGACGATATCTTCTGCCCCATCACCGTAGCTGGTGTTTTGTTGCCTGTACAGCAGCTTGAGTTACATGTTAGTCTTGTGCTGGCAATATGATCATGACGAAAACGAGAATTTGCTTGGTCTAGCTGTTTATACCCTATTTGTTAAAAGAATAATGCTATGTGTACAGGGAGTTTTGCTGGGAAATGTACAGAATTCCACTTGACAGATTTTCAAGGAGTGCTAGGCAAAAAAAAGAATGAAAAGAAAAACAGCCATATAAGTGCTGTCATCTCAGCACCTGTAAAATCTCTTGTGCATTCCCTTGTATAGGTGGTAAAATCCGTACTGAGAATCTAGATTGCAGAGTGCTGCTGCTTTGAATCCTAGACACAATTAATTGACAGTTCATTTAATTCCATAATTATTTACACTAACTTCTTACACTTTACCCTAATTTATGTTCTTCTATTTCTTTGCCTGTTTAGAATGACGTGATTCTTATCACCCCACTCTTCATCTTTTCATGGTTCTTGAAGCAATGTGGATGTTGTTTTTACTGTTCCTTGAACCTAATCAGTGGTTTCCTTGGTTTGCAAAATTAAAAAATGCCATGTTATCCTGCAAATTTGCATTGGAAAAAGGAAAAAAAAAGGCCATTGCCTGCCTGCAGACGGACTTTGAATTTGTTTGGCTTTAAGGTTACACCTTCTCCCCCCACTTCCTTGAATGACCAAAACTGCTACATAAATATTAATGAATCATCCTATTAAGGAGGATTTTAACAAGAAATAGTGGAGGAAAGGCTGCTAGCATGCTACAGCTGTTACCAACAGCCTGAACAAGGAGTTTAGGTATTTTTCTCTTTTACTTCTTGTAATTATAGTTGATTCTATTTTATTGATCATTTCTCTAGTTGGAAACTCGCTTTTTCTTTGGCACAATGACAACTTAGGCCCAAATTGAAGGAGCAAATGCAGTGTAGATCATCCGGAAGAGACCAGCAAGCTTGCAAAGGTGAAAGCTCAGGTTTCAGAAGAAGAAGTCAAAAGGGGTGATGATGGAAAACATTGAAAAGGAATAACCATTTTTGACATTCCTTTAGTTATTTCATCTTGCTGAAGCTCCTATATCCCAGCTGTATACAGGTGACTGAGAATCTGATACATGGTGCATGGTCCAATATTTTATCGCTGCAGGTTCTTGACAGTGGTGAGAAAACTCAGCTTATGGTGGACAAAAAACCGAAAATTGACAGTGGGTTTTGAAACGAACAGCAAAAGTTCTATAATTCTCACTGACATCAAAGTTATGTATATGAAGAAGAAGAATTGAAATGGCTGTGTCACTGACAGAAGCGGTGAAAAATAAAACCTCAAAATGATGAATTGCTAGCAACTCTTTTAACAGTACCTCGACCTGCGTTGCAAAGAGATATCGCAGGCTGTCGATATCCATTAGAAGCAACTTTGTCAAAAACTAGATGCACACTAAACACTGATTTCGATGTTGTCGATCAACCTGACATTTCCAAACCATGCAGCAACGCAAAACACAGCAGGTCTCTTGATCTCTCTCAATTTTTCCAAACTTTCTTGGTCTACAATCTGCTTGGCATCAATAGATGAAAATAGTTCATATAATAGTATAGGATTCTTTTTATTAAAAGCTTAGATACTTAGCCCATGTTTGGCCCCATTTTTTAAAACTTATTTTTATCCAAACCATTTTCAACCACACATTTCACGGAATAGCAAAACCAAAGAGGGGACTTCAACAATTACACTGATAAATATCGTTCTAATCAGCTGGCTCAAACTTTTGCACCTAGAGTATGCAAGTTTGTAAACTTCTAGTGAACAAAATTGATGTAATGTAGTTCTCCAACTCCAAAGGGCTTCTCTTTGTAGTTATTTGCCCAAAGTGGTTCTTAAGAATTTGGGAGCATGAATAATTTAATCTGACAGCTCAAGTCTAAACTAAAGTCTTCTCTTTTTGGCTTTGCATTTTCTATCTCAAGTTGAGCATTAGAAAGAGTCAATAAAAGCAATTAATAGGACATAGCGCTATCATATCAAAGAAAAGGAGTCGCAGTGTGGCGTATGCTGTAAGTTCCATTTTTAAGCTAAATGCATTAAGACATGCAAAAGTTTCAAGTTCAGACATTTACGGTAAAGTCTATTCTTTTATGTTTATAACTAAAAATTGATGATGCACAAGAGCTAACGATTATGGATCAGTTTAATATATAAGTCAAATATTTTATGTTCTCATATTTACCGAAAACACTAGCTTACTTGTTAGTATCTCACCTCAGCATAATCAATCTTTCCACCAGCTTCATGTATGGCCTGGATAACAGCATTCCTCAACTCTTGGCAATCATTTTGACCATTCTCTGCTGCAAATTTTGCTTTAAACAGTGACTTACTTATAGACAATGCCTACAAAAACAAGCAGCGTGGTTTCATTTATGGGAATTCTAGAAGGAAATTCCAGACGATTTCTAGTCATTATGATTCAAAAATTAGTTTATTGTAGGAACAGTAAAGAACGAGCTTAAATTGGATGATCAGTGAAATAAAAGACATAAATCGTGAAGTGAGCAAGTCTATATTAAAAATGTTTAAGCATGTTTTAAGCGTACAGGAATAATCAAAATATATTTCTATTTCAAATGCATATACATAAAACCTTTCTGTTGGCTAATTTATGTGTCCAGTTTCTGATCCGACCTGATTTTGGACCCCCCAAAATTTCAAATACAACGTTTCTCAGCATAGTTTTTGAGGAAGAAGACTGAGATACTGCACTGATTATTGTATTCATCCGTATAAGTAGGACTCAAGAAGCCAAACCACATCTTTGTGTGCTTTACTATATGTTGCTCAATCAGTGTATTTTATTTCAACAGTTTTCAGGCACATGAACAGTATATGAACAGAAACATCTCGAGCAGTTTCAATTCTACAAAATGTGAGATTAATTTGTTAAGTAAAATAGACCTTTTGTCTGTCCTCGGGCGAGAGGCGGACATTACGGGAACTCTTTGCAAGGCCATCATCATCTCGTACTAACTCTGTGCCTATAACTTTTATGCCAAAATCAAGATCTCGCACCTGAAAAAGAATAATCAAGATAAGTCCATAAAATCAAATTAAGCTTCACTTTCATAATGAAAAAACCATCACATTTTAGTGCATTGAAAGGAAGGAAAGAAACATGTTAAGAACAGAGCCAACTATATATGAAATTAGTTAATGAATTTTTGCCATCCAGCATACACATTCATTACTACTGTGACATGAAAGAATACCATTAACAGCTATTACAATATGTCAATAACAAACTATGTCTTGTTCCAATAAATTGGGGTCGACTACATAATCATTTTCCGCTTCCCTGTCAAGTACATTTCGCGATCTAATGGAAGATCTAAAGCTATTACATCCTTATTTGCTATTAGATTAAGTAATTAATTCATACATCGTGCCATCCAGTAGATATACAAATTATAATTTTGCTCAAGTCATTTGTTCCTTGACTCTCGGCCGTTTATTTGCAAGCAAGCTTCTGCTTCTACTTATTGTAGAAGAGCTTCTTGAGAAAGCTATCTTAATTAGTGCTTGAAAACTAATTTCTAAAAGAGTTTTCTCTTCTAAAGATATTAGAGGAAGCCACGTTGGAGTAGTTTCCACTAAAAGCTTTTCTAACCAGAAGAAAGCTTTTGGATCTCAAAAGCTACTTTCAGCTTCTCAAACAAACGAGTTCTTCATCTAGTTAATTATCTTAATTGTTCCATTTTATCATGTTAATAACTGTCCCTCAAGCGGGCGGACAGAATAAAGCTTTCATCTTTCCAAACACATTTTGGTTGAAAATTTTGACACAGACGCAAAAGTCAACAAATTCACAGCAGAGCATCCCAAGGTCCTAACAAATCAATAATCAAACCAAAAAAAAACTATCTTTTCTCTATAAATTTAGAGTCAGGTACATGAATCCATTTCCACCTCGATTCAATGCTACATCTAGGATAAGATTAAAAATGAAAGGAGATAAAGGAAAGTAACTGACCATTCTTTTGATGATCCTCCATTGCTGATAATCCTTCTTCCCAAAAACAGCAACATCAGGCTCAACAATATTAAACAACTTTGTGACAATAGTGGCAACACCTCTAAAGAAAACAGGCCTACTTTTCCCACACAAATCCTTTTCTAATCTTTCAACTCTGACCCAAGTTTCATGCCCCATTCCACTTCTTTCCACACAAGACACTACCTTACCCCCTTCTTGATCCAACCCCACCCCACTATCATTATTCCCATAATCATACAAATTTTTGGGGTTAAAAACAACATCAACACCACCAGGAACATACTTTAATTTCTGAATATCACCAAGAAAATCTGAAGGGTAAGTGGAGAGATCCTCAGTGGGAGAAAATTGGCCTGGATTTACATAAATTGATACTACAGTGAGTTGGGTTTGTTTGTGGGATTCTTGAATTAAGGAAAGATGGCCTTCATGGAGATAACCCATGGTGGGGACTAACCCAATTGTCTTGCCTTGGGCTCTCATAGACCTTGACCACTTTCTCATTTCATCTTTATCTGTTATCATCAGTGGATCTTTGTTTGCCATTTGAAATTGGATTTCGATTTTGGTACCTTCGATAAGATTCAATATCCGAAGATTTTTGAAATTCAGGAGAAAAATCAATAAGGGTTTGAACAAATTTATAAGAAACAAGAGTCTTGAAAAGTGAGAAGGTTGTTGATTGCTGATAATGGATAGTATGACATTATTGACGAGAAGACAGAATGGACTGTATATAGAATGTTTGACTAAAAAATTGTTTATTCTTTTTTTAAAATACAAATTTTGACGTTAACACATGACAAATTCTCAGGGAAGTTTGACTTTGCCAGTTTGCCCACATAACAACTTTGTTCATTTTTTTGTTGCACTTATTTCCCTCACCTTCCTTTAATTAGCAAAGTTAGTTCTCAGACATAATTTCAGTACAAATATTTTGTTGGAAAATGCTACTTGTACATTAGAGGGTACATAAGGGTGTCCATAATGGACACCGACACCTCCCCATTGGATGAAGTGCTGACCCCACCTGCACTTCATCCAATGGGAAGGTGTCGGATGTCAATTTGGACACCCTTATGTAGACCTCGATATACTTGTAGCACCTCCCTATTTTGTTATATCACGCGTGTGCATCTCACATGCCTATATTTTTAAAAGATAAAATTAAAATTACATGAAAAAGATATTCCAACTCTATTTTAATTGTATATATGTGTATACTGTTGGTGGTGTCGTCGCATTTTGGGAAGCTGTAAAAATGATCGAAAGTTCACAACATACATGACATATTAACAGAGAAATTAGATAGAAATTGCCGATGGGGACAAGTCTTACTAATAAATAGAAGGTTTGAAAAAAGTGCGACAAAATGAAAAGGAAAGAGGATATATGTTTGCTATGGGGGAAAAATAAAAGAAAGGATGAGGCGACAAGAGTTCTCCATTTGGAAGGCCAATTGCCAGCATAATGCTAAAAGTAATACACTAATACTATTTTGCACCGTTGATGCTTAACATCATTCTAGTTGTGACACTAATAGCATTAAATTACATGCTCAATTAAATAGATCACATAATTTCATTTTTAATTGAGCATATCACATGTCACATAAATTATTGTTCTAGCACCATCAGTATTAGATAGCATTATCTAATGTTAAATATGGAATATAATTATTTTAAATTGCATTCAATACACACATTACTACACTATTTTACAAAGTCCTCATTTGGGATCATTACTCACATAGTTGTTTTTACAAAATTAACTTATTTTCACAATGTGAAAATTGAGTTTCCATCGTGACTAGTGACCTCCATGGAAACAAATGTCATATAAAATTTTCATGACGACTAAAGATAATCGTTACAAATCACTTTAATTTTTTCATAATCCCATCGTGGAATGAAGTTAACAAGCCAATTGGTCTCTAAACTGCGAAATCTCTTCAAAAATTGGAAGCCTCCTTGACCGGGCAGGTGCCAATTCATTCAAGGCCCGTTCAAGTGCCTCGACAAAATCATCTTCAAAATTCAGGCATGGAAGATTCGACTGTAATGGCTGAGGCTGCACGGATTCCAATTCCAAAGACAATTCCTCGGCCCGATTTCTGGACTTGGAATCCTCAGAACCCGGAAGGTTATAGTGCAATACTTCTTGTAGAACCAAATGTGCCTCTTGATATCGGGCCAGTTTGATGAGGCAATGGCACAGATTCAAGGCTTTATTGGCATCCGGGTCAATCATTTGGGCTTTACTGTATACAACTTCTGCTGCCATGTAATTGGATTTCTGCGTGTAAGCCCAGCCCAGATTCCCCTGAAAGAAAATTCCAGATTTAGCACCAGAAAATTCATGCCTACTAATTTCTACTTTCGATAGCAATAATAATAAACAAACAAGCAAAGCACACACATCTCTCAATGTGAGAATTAGATACGTCCACTTCTACGTATTTTTACTTTCAAGAAGGAAAAGATCATAAAAAGTAATATATGAGTCAACGTACTGTTACATTAAATATTCTCTTAAACAAGCTGTCTTAAATTTATAGTATTCGTTTGATATCCAAAAAATAAAAATGACTGACTGTTTCCTGTAGTTGTTCCCATTGTACGTAGAAGCAAGACGTATCCTACACCAACTGTTTCGGTTCACGTTGAAATATGATTCACATTAAGAAAAACACTTGCTATTCATCAGTTTATCAACTTTTAAATCACACATTTCATCTACAAAAATTATATTAATGAATGTTACAAAGGGAGCTGTGGCAATGCTATAATCAAAAAAGAAGAGACTCGTAAAATGACTCACACAAATAAAGCGTTTGAACATTTTCGTTTATGCATGAATATGATCTTACCAGTATTCTTGAAGTTTCTTGCTTGATAGAAACCTGAAATTTCTTCCCATGAGAACGTGCAGTCTTTGTGGACTTCCCATTGAAGGCCTCTCCTAAATATATCATTTTAAGCTTATGCTTTAGCAGCATAATTTGTTCATCAACTTTTCCACATTTCTGCAATGTTCAAAATTCAAGTTAGTTCCAAAGACATATAAATAAACTAACACAGTACATGTTCGATACATACTATAATAGACAAAAATCTAGTTACATGTCTCTCGTACCAAAAATGCCTGTAGTCATACATTACTTTCCCACAATTAAGAAACACATGGATACTTTATAGAAGTCAATGACAACAATTTCAAGTGATTCCGAGGCACATTTGGTATGCAAGATAATAGATCACAAAACTAAGATTACATGTATACCTTGTATAAGTCAATGAGAACATTATCAAGTGATTCTTGGGCATGTTTGGGACAAAGACCCCTAAATGACCTGACAGCTTCAATAGCCTCTTCAGTTCTATCCAATTGCTTCATAACTACAGCCATATCCTTTAAGGCACTCTCTACTCTATCTCTTGCATTTATAGCCCTCCAGAACCAAATTATGGCCGACTCCGGATCTTTCTGAACTAGCTGAACTCTCGGGATATCAAACAAGAAACATAAATTTTAGTACAGACGTTAACAAAAACTGTGGTAGAATAGAGTTTCACTTAATTTAATTGATAGAGAGCAATGCTCGAGGGTAAAAGAAAAATTTAGAGGTCACTCAGACATATGTTCTAAGTACTTTTATCTTCATAAGCAACGTCATTGAATCTTTATAGTAGGTGTCTAATTACATGGTTCGTGGAGGTTTTTGGAACACAATTATAACATTTTTGATTTATAAAAATTAAAACTTTGAGCATGTAAAGATGTGAAATCTAATGGATCCCTAAACAAGCTTTGGATAAACTTGTATGTACATATCTATGTAACCAAGTCGTAAGAAGTCAATTCATTCAATATATGCAACATTGTGCAAGGTTAGTAATGTCATACCAAGCACAAAAAATGAAGTTACAATAACTCAAGCACATAACGAGTGAAAATTCATCAAGGTTTGCACTAAGAATCCTAAGAAAACTAGAAGTGAATCGAGAAATGTTAAAGATCATGTTGAAGAACATCCTAGTTTTTGAGAAAATTAAGATAATGAGAGAAAAGGGTATGCACTTTTTTTGATAGTTTACAAAGGAGAGACATAACATGGTTTCTTGATCTTGATGCTAGCAAAATATGTATGAAAACAACAAAGAAATGTTTGATAATTAAGAATTGATACAAGGAATAGCATTATAAGTCAAATTCAAATTAGTTTTCAAGATCAATTCTGAAAAATTGATAAGATTTGATGCACGATAAAGGCCAAATTTCTAAAGGAAATCTAATCGATTGTCGATTTATGCAGATAATGAGAATTTGTGTGAGAAAATTCAATCAATGAGTGTTTAGGACTGCTAATAAAAAAATTAATATAGTAGTCTTCACCAATCACCATCAGACAAATTAATTCTATTAGTTAACTGAAAACCAAAAAGGAAAGTGAATAAATATAATCAATTTTCTTAAATTGCACAGCCAGACATGCATATAGTAGAGAGAAATACAATTCAGAAAGACCTGAGCATGTTTGGCTCGAACGTAAGGACCATCACCCGAAGGAACCTTATGAATTACGTGAGAACACTCTTTCTCTCTCTTCATCATCGTCTTCTTGTACGAGCTTTCTCTCTCTAGTTTCAATGGTATATTCACCTGTTAGATGCCGTGAATCTAGAGAGAGAAGCAGATGCAGAAAAGTAAGTAGGTAGGTATGTATGTATGTTAGTATGTATTTATGGGGTGCATACACAATTATGCAGAGATGAATGAATCTGGACGACAGGACGTCTAGGTTAATTCTCGTCTAGTCCTGGAGAGAATTATTGATTTGCTACTAATCTTCCCGTCTCATTTACGTGACATATAGTCCTCCCCCCTCCGCAAATATTTCTCCTCTAGTCCTTGACTGTGGAGTTAGGATCGGGGTCGCTTTCAATCCACCCCAGTCAGTGACGATCCTAATTTAGGTGGGGTAGGCGATCACCTAAAATCCTAAGCCCAAAAAAAAAATGGATAAATCTATAAGTACATAATTATTGTACATAATGGATTACATAAGCACATATGAAAGAAATCAGGCCGTGGATGTGAAGTGTGAAAAAGTAAAAAATTGTAGACTACCGATGGATGCGCGTCACGTGTCAATTATGTAAATGACTATATACTTGTAGCATGGTCCAAAAAAAATATTACACACGGTTCATACATACATAATTACAAATAAAATAAATTCAAAAGTGTAATCAATCAAGCCAACTGAGTTATTCAGTTAGCAAACATATTATTCTTTATTTAAAATGTAAACATTGGGTCGGTTCAATCTTTATTTATAAAAGTATTTGAAGTTTAATTATATAGATATCTTAGCAAGTTTAATTAAAATATGATTTTTTTTATTTTTTTTTTTGTATTCACTTTAGGACAAGAACAGTTTGGTGAATTATTATATACTTTAAAAGTACTTGAACTTGGTGTGTGTGTATATATATATATATATATCATTCCTTAAGTCCCGTAGCTTTGATCATGTAGAATTTGGCAAGTAAGCAAAATGTTGTAGCTTCTCATGAAAAATATCGTATTATTCATATAAAGAAGCACTTGGATGAAAATTTCAACAATGAGATAACACATTCAGTTGAAGAAATATTTTAGAGTTGATTATTTATTTTATATGTTGATCAGGCTCTTTCTTCACTTGAGTTAAGGTTTAAATAATTTTCAAAAAATATGAAATATTTTTGAATTTTTGTTTGATTCTAAAAAAAAGTGAAGACTGCATAAGATAATTTTTTGAAGTGTTGTTGTGATAAATTTGAAATTTTTTTGAAACATGATTAAAAATTTAATATTATGTGCAAGATTTATTTGTTGAGAAAGTTGAGAAGTTGTTTGTTAAAGACTAAAGAGACCAAAAAGACGACTGAAGTGCTTGACTATATTAAAATAATAGAATGTTGTTTTCCAAATGTGTGAATTGCTTGTAGAATATTATTGACTATACCACAATGTCATAAGAAAAATTGTATGAATTGGTCACGTTGTCGATTGAAAAAAAGATTCTAAAACAGATTGGTTCTAATAATATAATTGTTGATCTTCTATCAAAAAAATCTAGAAGAGAATAATATTATCTAACGCTAGTTTACGTGACATTATGTGATAGGTTCAATTAAAGATAAAAATATGCGATTTATTTATTGTACGTTTCATTTAATGACAATTAACACCACCTAAATTGATATTGTATCACCAATAATGTTAAATAGTATAACTTTTTCCAAAATGAGGACCAAACATGGACATATTATTATCTAGACATGACTGAGATTCAGTACTAAACAAGATTAATGATCGAGATTTTAATTAAACACATTTGTTTTTGCTTAATAACTTGCATTAACTTGTTTATAATTTCAAGTAAAACAAAAATCAAATACACGCTCGACATATACTAAAATTTGAAAAATTACATTATAATTTCTTGTCAAATAAAAAAAGAAAAAGGAAAAACTAATGAAACACACCTTGAGTATAGAGTGCAAAACACACTTTACATCCCTAAATCTACGTTCTTTTGCAAGAGTGATCCTTTTCGTCCACAGCCGTCCAAATTGGCTGTTAAAGGCTTGGTGCACAACACGTTTAATTACAGAAGAATAATCTTGTTCAATCACTTGGCCCCGGTTTGATCCCATTATCTAAACAACCATGCTACATGTACGATGGAGGATGACCAGCACTCACAACAGGAGGGTCCACTTTTTATTTTGGAATTTTTTAATTATGCGGAGTTCGCACGCATGTGAGAGGTTGTCAATCTCCATTATCATCCATTGTTTGTACAAATGGAATTTTCCTTATCCAAAAGCTCCTTCTCCCTTTTTTTTTTAATAAGTGTGCGGTTAAAGAATCTCTGGACAATTTTCACTTGAAAGACCACCATTTTATTAAAATTCAAATGGAAGACCTTAATTTGACTAATTTAGGCATTTTTGTTTCGGATTAAAGTCAGATTTTAATTTAAGTCAAATGATCAATATTAACCACGTCTTTTATGGGTCTTACAGCTTTTCAACCATACATTTCAAAAACTTTCATCACAATCTACTAAAAATCTAATTTTAATTCCCACCAAACACCCACTGATAGAAGATAAAATGATCTTTTCCCATTAAAATAGAGAAACTAAGCCCATGTTTGATTTAGATAAAAATCAAATTTTTAGTAAATTTCGATAAAAGTTGATGAAATGTGTGGTCAAAAAGTTGTGATTTCCATAAAATATGTAATTAAAATTAATTGATGATTTTGACTGAATTTTATTTCAAATTTTTAGCTGGACCAAAAATGTGCTAAATATGAACATATCTAAGAAGATATTTGGTTAAAATTTTGCAAACAAGTGCAAACCATACAAATAAAAGAAGAAGAAAAAAACTTTTCTGGCATTAATTATTTCAACATATCTAATGATACATTAGAACAGAAACTCACTATCTTATGGAATTTATTTACAGGTTGTGGCAAACTGGGGAGCCTTCTCCAATTGCATTTCCCTGAATAATCACTCATTTCACAAACACAAGCTGGATAATTTTTGTGATGTTCATCATTGAATACATATATAAGATTACCAAATCCAACACATTTAAGGCTTGCAAATCTATCATCTTCATCAATACTACTGTCAAGTAAGCAGGCAAGTAATTCTTCAGGCATGATTTCCATTTCACTGAATTCGAGCGTTTTTTCGTCGATTTCCCATAGAATGAAACAAGGTGATGATCCAATATTGTTGCATAATCCTGCTAAAATGAGTTTGTCATGGAGAGAAAGTAAGTATGAAAATAATGCTCCTGGAGGCCTCAGGGTCTGGACAGAAGTCCAGTAACGTTTTTCGAGGTTGAAAAACGAGACGAAAAATGAATATATCCCGAAAACGAAGAGTTTTTGTTTGAATAAAGCTGAACATAGCCATTGTGATGAGTTTCCAGGGCGAAAATCAGCTGGCAATGGGGGACAAATTTCCCAATAATCTTGATTGGGATTGTATATTTCAACAGCTAAACGGTCCTCAAGATCAACAAGGTTACCATTGAACCTCTCCCCACCTACGACAATAAACCTGGGAAGTTTCGAACTTTTATCAACATTGTACACGCCAATCAGGGGATTAGACCTGGAAAATCTGAGAGGGCTTGTTTGGCTCCAGGAATCACTCAAAACTGGTTTGAAACTGAAATTTTCTGGGGTGATACTGAAGCAAAAACCATTGGAGCCAGTAAACAAGTCTTTGGACAAAAGGGATGCTGAGACTGGGAGTTTGATCCATCCATTCGATTCAGGGTCGAATGCAAAAACCTGATTGTTCTTGGTGAAGACATTGTTTTGTCCGTAGATAAAAAACCACGGCTTTTTTCGAGCCGAAACTCGGGTTTTGAAGGAGGAGGAGCAGATTATAGACTTCCAGGATTTGTAGACTAAAGATGAACGGATTATGGAGGAAATAGGGAGGTGAGAAAGGATTAATTCTGTAAGGTCTGAGCCTAAATAATCCCAATTGGTTTCTTCCATTGTGTTGGGACTCGGGACCTACGTGTCAAGGAAAAGTCTCGGTAGACAGTTTCTATGGGACGTAGAATAGAGGCGTGCAAAGGTTTCCTCGGGCTGGCCAAAGATTTGCCCTAATATGAAGAATTGAAAAGAGGGATCCATGAAGGAATGGTTTCTTCCATTTTTGAGGCTTCAGTGTTAAGAGTGGGGTGGGGGTTAAGGAAAATGGCTAGAAATGTGAAGGAATGGAATGGATGTATCTTTTTGATTAGATAAATAGGAAAAAGAAAGAGAGGAATGGTAGTTGGTTGACAGTTGAGTAACATGGCTGCTTAAATAATAACCGTCTATTCCTACGTATAGGAATCATCGAACATGACGAGGAATTAGGAGAGCAACAAGAATTTCTATTTATTTCTAAATTATTATCTGAAGAAAAAGCAGAAATTATATAAGGATAAGGAGGGGAGAGAAAATCGAGAAATACTATAAGTACACAGGCCCCTACCAAGTTACACACATGTGGGGTTGGGGGCCACTTTTTTTTTTTAATACATGGGGTGGGGCCGTCCTCTAGGTCCTTGTAAAAAATTGCCATGTACGCAGGGCATAATTCGAGAAAATCAGAAAGACTTTTCGATGTTATGCCATCCGCTTAGTTGCTTCCCTCGGTCCCCATAGCCCCCGTTCAAACATGTTATCCCCTCATCCACTTTCCCTTCCTCGTAATTTTGTTCCTTCTCCATGTTTCTTGAGCGTCCAAGAGACTCGAAATTCTTGTTGAATTTCCGAATAACATGAGAGAAGGGGTACGAGTTAATGTCAATCCCAAATCGATTAAATATCGAAATTTACAATCATTATATAGACATGAGTTACTTTTTTACTATATAGACAATTTGTCACTTTGAATCAAAAAAAAAACATTTATACAAAAGAATTGTTTCTATAAACTTTTGTGCAAAAAAACAATAGTAAGAAGTAGTGTACGGCATCAACAGTAAAAGCCAATTCCATCTCCGATTGTTACAACAATTTTGTCTCAATTCTCAACTTGCAAGAAATTAAAATTATGAAGAGTAGCGTCTCTTTGGCAACCATTTTTCCTCCCAAAATGCATTTTTATATCATATCAAGTGGGCCACCTTGTATGACACACGTGGTATTACTTTGTGATATATGTGGCAATTTTTTCCTTTTTGCTCTTGTTTTGCTCTTTTTGCATTTTTGCCCATTTGACAACTATTGATTAGAAAGGGGCAATTGTGAAATTGTAAAATCAAAAGACTGAAATTGGTACAGTTAATAGTCAAATTTGTGTCAGATGATGAAATGGCGTCATTTTGTTTACAACGGTCAATTTTCTTCTAAAAATGAGGACAAAATGCGCACCAAACAGGGGAGGACTCTTTGTTAAAAAGCTCGATCAAACCATAATTTTGGTTAAAAAAACTCAGCTCAATGTTTCTTAGCCAAATGGCCTTCAATTATAAAAANATCTCAATGTTTCTTAGTCAAATGGTCTTCAATTATAAAAAACAATAAATAAAAAATATCAAATATCCAAAATACCCTCACCATGGAAAATACCCAAACACCCCTTTCAATCCAATTAAATTCCTCAATCCATATCCAGAAAACATCGCCATCTCCCTGTAGTTGCTACCTAAAATCTTGTTATTTATTATAATCTTCACATTTCTTCTCCAATATTTTGAGCATTTGAACAAGAATTTTGATTTTCTTATTATGTACATTGAAATCTCTACTATATTTGAAGAAAAAGAAATGTATTTTTAGAAGTCTCGTGTGTTTAGTTGGTATTGTTTTCGTATTTAACATGTTTTTTGTATTGCCTAGATCTATTGAATGATAACAGCACTCCAATTGTTAACTAGAATATAGAACGATAGTTCAGCCGTTATCTACTACTAAAACGACACTACTGTCGTTATCTGTTGTAGTTTATTTTTTCAACGAAATGACCTCTAATAATGGACATATTAACATGTATAACACAAAAAGATTGACAATCTACAAAGAACGATTGAAATGAC